AGGCAGGGGAGGATACCCCTCTGACAGCAAATTCGAACTCGGTACCTTAACCACAGTATTTCTCCTTGGCCTTACCCCAATGAACGTGACCCGCAAGGAAACAAGAAAAGAAAGAAAAAACAGTTCTAGGCCAAAAAACACCCCCCCACCCTCAGAATTTTGGACAGATAGAGAAAAAAGAACTAGATAACATCACAGGAGCACACCAAAAACAGCTAAGAAGAACCCGGATATACGAACTCTTCTGATATACGAGTAGGGATGAAGGTTCCTGTGGCAGTTCTGGCAGATGGAAGATAGAGGAGAGGGTCTTTCTAAACAAACAAGTTTGTGAGTGAGCGGTCAATGGCAATCAGGCAATCTGCAAAGTAGCCACAGTTCTTCCCTCCTTAATCAAATTAAGCTAAGCCCGACTGACCGTCTCTAAACGGACTGATTTCCTCAGAGACGTGGCCAAAAGAGAACGAGGGAAGCAACTGTAGGAAACATTAGCTTCCGGGTTTTCAAACTTGTGTGTGCTTTGCCAAAATATTTAGTAGTATTTGCCAATAGCATAAGAAAGGCGTTTCCGGTCTCAGTTTAACCCCAAATGTCTGTTTTGTTTTTCTAGAGTAGATCAAGACTATTACGTTGACCGTTTCTCAGTTGATAGGATAGTTTGAGCAGTGGAATTTTTAATATATATATATGAGTGCACCGCTGTGCTGGATGAAATTATGTTAGTATTAAAGGCGGGATTAATACTGGATTTCCGAGGGTCTGCACTTGTATGTGATGGACTTCCGTGTCCATTCATAAAATCGTGTGAAAGAAAGTTGCTCAGATGGTTTAGTGGCTATGGAGAAAAGACACCCCCCCCCCCGTACTCCTAACAAGCTTTGGTATAATAAGTGAACCATTTTGGGCGTTAAGCTACCAGACTGTGGGTTAAAGTAATATTTGTATATAGCCAGTCCAGTAGCAGTAGAATCCATACCCCCTGAAAAAAAGCTAACGAAAACAAGTTAAATATCCTCCACCCCCTTTACAAAATTCCAACAAAACAAACAAACCAAAATACCATGAACAAACAAACGAACAAAAGAAACAAACCAAAAAACAAACAACTGCACAAAAAAACCAGGTGGTCGAAAAAAATGCAAGTTCAAGCGCGTTTGTGTACATGATAATAATTATGTTCGTTCTTATTACCACATTGTTGCAAGTAAAGAAACAAACAAATCAAAACAAAACAGACAAAAAAGAAAAAACAAACAAAAGAAAAGTCCAGTTGGTGACCAATGGATGTATATATCCTCCCCTCGCTTCCTCCTCGCCACACTCACACACACACACCCACTCCCCTCGCCGCACACATATTCAAACACACACACACACACATATATCCTCGCACCAAACAAACAATTTCTATCCCCCAGATACAATAAATCTACACAAAATGTATTCCCAGAAATAACAGCAAACACTTTCACGGCGATGTCTTCAGAGCGCAGACACTACCCATCACGGCTGGCAAAACTCTTTATTATTTCAATAATCTCGGACGCCGTCTGGCTGACACAGAGTTCATATACCTCAAGCCCAAATCAATTCCCTTTGAATTGCTGCTGTCTAGATTCAGACACCAAAGTGGGAAGAAATTCGCAGGGAGAAAGGATTTAAAGTCTCCCTGCGCCTATAAATAACACTTTTTCAGGCTGGAATGGGAGTTTTAAGAAGGAATGCTGGGTACAAAAAAATCAACCCCCTCCCTCTTCAACCACCCATTCCCCGTTCCTCCCTTATTATATTTCTTTCACACCTTCTCCCGTTGGTTGCGCTCCAGTTTAAAACAACACCCCCCAAAAAACCCCCCAAAAAACAAACCCAACCAAACAAACAGAAAAAACCAACAACAACCCCCCCCC